AAAGAAAGAAAGAAAGAAAGAAAGAAAGAAAGAAAGAAAGAAAGAAAATATTAATAAAAACAAATTAAAGGAGGAAGGAACCTACTCAGAAACATCAACCCCTTTCACTTGATTGTTCTGTGGATTGAAAAGTTCATGACTTGTAGTATCTATTGATTACCCTTCCTCTTCCAATGGGGCATGAGAAAGAAAATGGGGTGGGCTGGGACAGGGGAGAAGAAGCTGGGAGCTGCAGGTGCATGAGCCTAAGGGATGTGCCTGGAGGAAGGAGGGAAGGAGGTGGAGAGAGAAAGCAAGAGAGAGAGAGAAAGGAATGGAGGTGGCAAAGAGGCTTAGAGAGAGGCTGAGGGAATGAGTGAGCTTGTGCTGTGTTTGGCTCCAAGCCAGTGAGAGAGACTGGGGCGGGAGGGAAATGTCGGAGACAGGGGCCCAGGAGGAAGAGCATCTGGTGACAGCAGGTGGCTTTCACAGCCTCTGAGTATCTCCTGGGGCTGTCCAGCAGACCCCCAGTCCAGAAGAGCCTGCCAGTCTTAATGAAAACCTCTCCATAGGCCTTTCGGGTATTAAGGAGTGGGTGGACGGTTCATTCATTCACGTAATAATGAATAAGCGTCTATCCCATGCCTGTCCTCTGCCACGTGCTGAGGAATCAGCCTGTTCAGGACAGACGTGGCCCTGCCCGTCTGGAGCTTCCTGTGTGCCAGGGGGACCACGCCTCAGTGCTGGTCACTCTGTTTCCACTTGTGCATAGCTCGGGCTGAGTCTGGTGCTGAGGGCTGTGCCTGTCAGACAGGCTCTGACGTGGAGCACAGCTACAGCCCTGAGCTCAGCTAGCTGCCTGGGACCGGGGTGCCCCGGATGGTGGGGCTGGGGGTGGGGGCGGGGATGCCAGTCTCAGAGCTAGAAAAACATCCTCTGGGTCCCTGGTCAGCAGTGGATGGGACAGGCCCACGGACATCCCTGTGCCAGCCTCCCAGGACTGCCCACTAAGGGTCATCTTCCACAGAAGCCTGACAGCTGTGAGACCAGCCTGAGCAGTAATGGGCACTGAGGCAGCTTAGGGGGCTTCCTAGAGGCAGGCAAGGCCGAGCCCTCCCTAAAGGCGGCCATGGACTTTGTCATGAGGCCCTGTGGGTTCCTACAAAGCCACAGAAGGGCTGGCAGGGGCTGGTCCCTGGGAAGGCCTCTGCCCCCGCCTCCCAGGCTTAGGACCTCTGGTGCCATGAAAGGCCTCTGCCCCTACCCCCAGGCTCAGGACCTATGGTCCCCTGCAAGGCCTCTGCCCCCACCCCCAGGCTCAGGACCTCTGGTTCTCTGCAAGGCGTCTGTCCCCACCCCAGGCTCAGGACCTCTGGTCCCTGGGAAAGCCTCTGCCCCTGCCCCCAGGCTCAGGACCTCTGCTGTAAGGACAGTTCCAGCTGGCTAGGGTCGTCTGGCCTCCCACAGGAACCTGGCAGCCACCCCATGTACCCCCAGGAGTACATAATCAGGTCTGGGATGGCCAAGGGACCATACACAGTCAGAAAGCCCACACCTTGGCTTTGGCACACACTGATCAGAGAGCACAACACAGCCACCCAGGAACAGGCAGAAGCAGGCCAGGAACCCTAACCTATGTGTGGTCCTCCACAGTCACCCTGCAAACCTGGCACTTTGACTTCTTGGGGACAGAACCTCTCTGCTTCCCTCCGCCTCCCAGGCCACACCCCCTCCGCTCATGATAGTGGGATTCCCCAAGTTTAGTCTGGCCCACACCTGCTGCACCCACACACCCTGGCGCATCCCCTCTCAGAGTGGCTGCAGATGCCTCCTGAGTCACCATTAGCAGCCTGGCCACCAGCCCTGACAGCCCTGCTGCCCGTGGGCTGATACACATCACACGAGCTGGGTCATCTGGATGACCACAGGGCTGTGATGTGCCTGGCATGCCGCCTGGCACAGAGACACCTGGTGGGGTGGTTTGCAGTCAGAACCTTGGAGGGAGAACAAGTTCACACAAGGCAGCCTCCACATTGCCTGAGCTGGGCTCCATGCAGTTAATAAACAATGTCTGCTGCAAGAGTGTGGGGCCACTGCCCTCCTCGCCCAGGTAATTAAAAGGCCATCTTTTAAGTAATTAAATGGTCAAGTCTGCATGGCTGAGGAGGTGATGGCAGCTCCGCTCCTCCCCAGGGTGTGTGCATGTGCATGGGAGTGTGTGTGTGTGTGTGGGCAAGTGTGTGTGCACATGAGTGTGAGTGTGTGTGAAGATGAGCATGTGAGCTATTGTGTGCACATGTACATGCAAGTGTGAATGTGTGCATGTGGGTGTGAATGCATGTGTGTGCATGTGAGCAAGTGTGTACGTATGTATGTGTGCACATGTGAGTGCATGAGGCTGTGTGTGTGTGTGTGTGTGTGTGTGTGTGTGTGTGTGTTCTGACTTGGAGAATACCACACAGTATCAGCTCTTGAAGTGGGGCTTAGGCCACAGCTGCCTGCATGGGCCTTCAGCTTCTCCTGCTCAACCGGCTCCAAGCAGCATTTCAAACCCACAGGTGTCCACCAGCTTCTGCTCCCACATTCCGAGGAACATGGACGAATCTCTACAGGGTCAGCAGGAGAAAGCCTGAGCTCCGAGGGTGGCAGAGGGACCGGGCAAAGGACTGCCACTTCTCCAGCCCATCTGTGGCCATCCCTTCTAGGCTGCGTAGCCGTGGTGCTCCTCAGGCCAGTGTCCCAGCCAGGCCTGCACGCCCTCCTCCCTCAGGGACTCTTTGCCTGCCTGCTCTCCACTGCATCGCATTCCACGTCTGTCCGTGGCAGCACTGTCAGGGGGTGAACCACAGGCACAGAGGTGTACACAGCACACAGCAGGGCCAGCGAGGAGAGGATGCTATGAAGAAGCCAGGTGCAGAGGATGAAGTACTCGGGTAACAGCCTGCCCCTGGATCCCAGCTCGGCCCCACTCCTGCCGAGGGAGCCCCTCCTGTCCTCTGAGCTGCGGGTTCACCCATCTGTCAAATGCAGTCATTAAATAACTGCCCTGTCCACCTTCTGAGCCTGCTGTGAGACCAGGAACTTTGAAATAAAACCACGAACATCAAAGCCTCATGAAAGCTGAGGAGAGCAGTCCACAACCAGGTTCTGCCACCATTTCCCTCTGGGACGGCCGCCTGGGACACACACACCTTAGTGTGGCCACCAGAACACCCGGGCACTGGGCCCAAAGCCCCCTTACTCATCAGGACCAGGGAAGCCAGGAGTCCCCCCTGACCAAGACACAGTGCCAGGAAGAGACAGTGCGGGCCAGCCCAGGGAAGATGCAGATTTAATACACACCATGTTTCTGTGAAGACGCAGTGCTGCTCACGGCCTCCTCGCCCCCCAATCAGTACTTGCATGTGAAACTACCCCCAGGGACCCTCCCGCCACTCTCCTGCACAGAGTCAACCATCCGTTGCTGGAAGTCTCCGCTGCTCAAGAGCAGGTATGGAGCTGAGGGCGCAGGGAGGGCATCACCAGAATGAGCCTCGAGGATGGAGGGTATGGGGGGACTGGCCTCATGCCTGCAAACTGCCAGGATGGCTGACAACCCCGACTTCAGAGGCTACCTGGGAGAGCAGCAGAGGGGACTTACCTCTTCCTCGGGCCCAGGTGTAGACGCGGCTGCTCTCGAAGCTTCTGGTCTCTCGCTCGGCCAGCTCCACAGGCAAAGGCCGGAGGTGGGGATCATCAGCTCGGCCAGGGGTCTTCAAGGGCAAGATATACTTGGGGAGCCCTTTGTAGAACCAGGCCCCCGACCTCTTCCAGACCTGGATGGAGGAGAGAGCTGCCTGGAGCACAGGATGCAGAGGGGCCTCCCCTCCTGCTCCTTGCCCAGAGGACGGGAGGCACGCAGAGAGCCAGTAGCAGTGTGGGGGTGGGAACTCTGGCTCTGCCCTCACTGGCTGATGGGCTGGGCAGTCACTTACCTTCCCAGGACTCAGGACAACTTGGAGCTAAGTTCCATGAACTTTCCAAACTCTTTCTCTCCCTTGTTTTAGAGTTGAGGCCTTGCTCTGTTGCCCAGGCTGGAGTGCAGTGGTGCAATCATCACCCACTGCAGCCTCGACCTTCTGGGCTCAAGCAGTCCTCCTGCCTCAGCTTCCTCAGTGCCATGCCCAGACCCCAGCTTCTCAAGGACAACATCCCTGGTCCCTCAGCTGTTCCAAGCTCCCTCTCATCAAGCCACCCCCTCTCGCCAGTGTTTGTCACTGCCCCTCAGGAGAGGGGCTCAGAAGTGGCCACAAAGCTCCAGACTTGTTCTGGCTGCCCCCAGGGCACAGTCACCGGCTTTCCACCTATTTCCTGCCTGGGCTCTGTCTTCCTCAGGCCCTGAGCCTCCCAGGAGCTCCCCCTGACTCCACGTAGTCCCACAGGGCCTCTGAGAGCCAGGTGGGTCCGAGGGTGCCTGCCAGGGCCCATGCAGATGCAAAGCATCCCTTTATCACTGACCTGGGGAAGAGAGGAGTCACCCTAAAGCTGGCAAGACAGACACCCCCTGAAGGCTGGCAGAGCCCCAGGAAGCTGGGGATGCTGACCCTGAATTCACAGGGTGGGAGGCGCTCTGGGTCTGGGATGCATAGCCCCTTGGGCTCTGACAGGTCCTTCTGTTCTTTGTCACCCCCAGCTTGGACACCCAGGCTCCCTACTCCTATTGTCCCTGGAAGCAAGGTTGAATCAATGGCAGCTGCCACATACTGGCTGTGTGGCTTTCAGTGAGTTACTTAACCTCTCTGAGACTGAGTTTCTTCATTGACTACATTGATTAAATGTGATAGCTGCTAAGAAAGTTGAAAAGTGCTCATCAGAGCAAATGGCACCCAGAAGGTGTTCACAAGATGCCACCTGCCTGCCTCCTTCCTGCCCCTGCTCCTCCCCCTCGAGGCTCCAGGGCAGAGCCGCAGAGGCTGGAGGGAGAGCTGGGCTGGGCCGCATCACAGCAGGTGCGTGCTCTTCTCTGAGAGCTTCTTATGAGACAGTCTCTCCAGCAGGAACAGAAAGGACCCACTTCGCAGGAGAGCTGCCAATTAGAATTCAGAGCAGCAGCTGAGTTAAGGTCCCTAAATTTTTAATGCCTCCTTCAGAAAACACCACATGCTGTATGATCTCTTTTCTGATGAAGGAAATAAATTCAGGGCATTTAGTCGGGAGTGGTGGGATTTTGTAAAGGAACATTTTGCAAGAAACCTCAACTGACTTCACCCTTTTCAGAGCAGTGCAGGCCAAGGTTCTGAGCAGATGTCCTGAATTTGAACCCTGGGTCTGGCACCCAGCACCTGTGTGACTTGGAAACATGGAGCTCCCTGGCCCTCAGTTTCTTTGTGGGTGGGCAAACACAGGATCTGCGCTCATCTCACAAGGTGGACTTGAATGAAGCTGACGCCCCAGGGCCCAGCGCCAGGCAAAGAGCAACCTCTCCACAGAGGAGAGGCCCATGGGTACCCCCGCCACCCTCTTCCTCCCACCTGGAACACAAACAGCTTTCCCACCAGTGGACCAATTCCCTACTTGAAGAATTTAAAATCAGAAAACCGGAATCTGCCGATTCTGAGACATTGCTTCCCGCTCCCCAAACTTCCTCTGCACCACATAAATACTGTGGGATATTAACAAGAGCCAGGTCAAAAAAAAAAGGTTTCTAATCATATACACTTGAAAAGCATCAGGTTAAACCAAGCTCCATCACTACAGGACTTGTCAGAGCCTTTACTATGCTAAAGTGCACAGGGTTATCCGACAGGCAAAAGAACACATGGTGCTCTCGATTCGAAATCTGCCCGGCTGGCTCTCCTAGAGAAACTCGACCTTAGGATGGGTCTGTGTAGACTCAGCACTTATCCAGCTAGCACTTACTGTCCACTTGTGGAGTGATGTGTATCTGCCTCTCCAAGTAGGCTCGAGGCACCTCCTCACGCTGCAGAGCCCCAGGCGCAGGACCGCCAAGTCCAGACAGGGTCCCGACGTGGATCCCTCCCTGCCCCTGCCAGCCACCCTGAGTGGAGGGCCTGGAACCTGTCTGGTGGGATGGAGGCGTCATGGCACCATTTTGGAAAACCCTTTCTGATCCCCTCGGAGCCTTCCTACCACATGTATTTACGTGAATGGGTAATGCAGGCACATAGTCTAAAAATCCGCAGCGCAAAAGTAACCAGTCTCCTCCCCCATCCCCAGAGATGTTTGAGGAAGCTTGGTGATTATCTCTGCTTTTCAGGTGGGGAAACTGAGGCTCCAACAAGTTCAGCAATTTGCCCAAAGCCAGCACATATTCTGTTGGCCTCTACTCCACTGGGAAGGCCCGAGTCCCACCCAGCAGTTTACAGTTGCGAGGTGGCTGCTCGCTAATAAAGCGGTTGAGTGGTGAATAAATCCTGAGTGGGTCAGATGTCAGGGTGTGCTCTCAGCACCCTACAGGCAGGAGGAAGAAGCAAACAAACAGCAGCCACCATGGCCACCCTCTCTCTAGAGAGCTGCTGCGAGGCTCATTAGAGCAGGTGCCCAAGTCCAAGAGGCCACGGCAAGGCCACGGGGGCCATGGGGTGGGGCTGGCTGCACCTCCCACTGACGAGCAAAGGCTCTGAGCACGCCACCTCCCTGTCCTCTGCCGTGGACTGGGCCTGGGGCCAAGCCCTGAAGAGTCATCTGCGAACGGCGGGGCCTGCGCAGGCTTTGAAACGCACACCACACTGTCTCCCCCACCCGCCACGGAAGCTTTCTCTTTTTGCTTTTTTTTTTTTGAGACAGGGTCTTGCTCTGTCACCCAGGCTGGAGTGCAGTGGCGCAATTGGCTAACTGCAGCCTTCACCTCCCCAGGCTCACGTGATCCTCCCACCTCAGCCTCCTGAGTAGCTGGGTCTATAGATGGTGTGCACTGTATTTTTGTATTTTTCTAATTTTTGTAGAGATGGGGTTTCACCCTGTTGCTCAGGCTGGTCTCAAATTCCTGGGCACAAGCAGACTGCCCACTTCAGCCTCTCAAAATGCTGGGATTACAAACATGAGCCACCACGCCTGGCCTCCCCCCTGTTTTTTTCCTGAAAAATACCTACCTAGCATACAAAATTAGCACCATAACAAAAGAGTAAAATGAAACTGGGTCACCTAAACGTTACCGCACAGAGCCAGCCCTGCTGAGCATGGTGGTGTGCACTTGCTTTCACACTTTCCCAGGCACACGCGCTATTTGTTTTCTATTTTTTTTTTTTCAAAACTTGGCTAACGTAGATGCAGCCTGTTCCTCTGACACACACCCAACCACGTGTCACAGCGGTCACTCCGTATTCATAACTGTCTCCATCATCACTGTTTAATTGCTCCACAGTTTGCATTTATTACGGACGTCTGAACTGTCTCCAACCTCTGTCCTTACAAGCAGTGCTGCAGCCGCCACCCTGTACCCTCCACATCTGACCAGTTTCAGTCACTGTCTTAAGAAACACGGGTTGAGTGCTCTTTTCCAAAATGCTGGGGAGAGAAGTGTTTCAGATTTTGAGCTTTTTCAAATTTTATCATATTTGCATTATACTTAATGCAAGTTTAGCATCCTAAATCTGAAAATCCAAAATCTGAAATGCTCCAATGACCATTTCTTGAAGCATCACACACTTAAAAAGTTTCGGATTTTGGAGCATTTCAGCTTCTGGGTTTTCCGATGAAAGATACTCAGCCTATATTCCACAGGGTAAAATTGCAGGTCAAGAACTGTGTATGTTCTGATGATGACATCTAGAGTCAGGCCGCCCTCCAGGAGGAAAAGCATGCTCCCAGGATGCTACATTAAGTGTTTTCGGGGTGGGGACCTGGTCTTCTTAGCTCCCTGGTGGAATCCAGGGTCTACTCTGTGGATACTGATCAGGGTGGATCCCATGGAACCATCATGGGCTTGGGGAGAGGCATCTGTCAGGGCATGAGGCCACCAGCACAAGGTGTGCAGAACAATGGAGCTCCTTGCCATCCCTGGGTCACGCCTTTAGGGTTAAGAGATCTCCTCCACCTCACGCCCAGCCAGCCGAGGCCCTGTTTAATGGGAGTGGACAGGCTGATGCTCAGGGTGACTCAGCAATGTAGCCGAGCCTTCTCTGCTGTGAGGCATCAGGGAAGACACTAAGAAGCCCCACATGGCTGCATTCCCGCACACTGCAGGGCCGAGCGCCTCGTCGTGCGGGTGAGCTGCCTCTCACAGCCTTCTTTCTGGCTTCTCCTTTGCAGCACTGGACTACAGGTACACATGGTCCCTTTTTTAAAAAAATCAAAACATTTTTTCATTGTGTTAAAATATTCATAACATAAAATGTATCGCCCTAAGCGCAACCAATCTCCAGAACTCCTCATCTTGCAAAACTGAAACTCTATAACCACTAAGCAAAAGCTCTCCGTTCCCCTGCCCCCCGCCCCCAGCCCACTGTCTGTCCCTGGGAATATGACTACTCTATGTACGTCCTAGAAGGGGAGTCACATGGTATCTCCCTCTCACGGCTGCCGTATTTCAGCTGGCATCACTTCTCCAGGGTTCATGCATACAGCAGCGCGTGTCAGAATGTCCTTCCTCTCGGAGGCTGAGAAATGTCCCACTGTAAGGACAGGTCCCACTTTGTCATCAGTTGGCAGATACTCGGGGTGCTTCCAGCCTTTGGCTGGTCCTTCTGTTTTCACTGTCCCCCCCCCATAGAATCCACCAAGCAGGAGGACGTGTCACAGCTGTCTTGCTCACCACGGTGTCTTCCTGCTCCCAGCACACGCCTGACACTTCGTAGGTGTTCAGTAAATGCTGGCT